CAGAAAAAGTATTTCCATGTGAAGCCAAGCCAATTTACGAAAATTACATTGGATCACTCGCCCAAGATTTAGAAAAGAAAGTTCTACACATAATATTTTTTGAGATTAGCTACATTCCACGACCTGGCCAAGGATCTGCCCTCAGCATCCTTCAGCGAGTATGCTCCTCCTGCGTGAACTTCTTCGATCAGGTATGGTCCCTCCCAATTGGGATCCAGTTTTCCTACATGTTTGAGCACGTCCACCCTCTTCCAAACCAGATCACCCACCTGGAATCGGTGAATCTTCACTTTCCTGTCATGCGCTGCTCTCATTCGTTGTTTATACGCTTCCACTCTGGTCGAAGCTTGTTCTCTGAGCTCCTCGATCGTGTCTAGGCCAGTTAACATGAGCTCCTCATTCTGCTCTCGCTCATATGCGCTTACCATCTGGGACTGCAGCTCCAGTTCAATTGGCAAGAGTGCCTCCATTCCATAGACCAGGCTGAACGGCGTCTCCCCCGTGGTCGACCTCGGGGTGGTCCTGTATGCCCAGAGCACAGATGTTAACTCATCGACCCAGGCCCCCGAGGCCTTTTCCAATCTCGTCTTCAAGCCATTCAATATAATTCTGTTGGTCACCTCCACCTGTCCGTTGGCCTGAGGGTGGGCGACCGAGGCGAAATATTGCTCGATTCCCATCTCCTCACACCATGCCCTCACTCGCTTGCCATTGAATTGGGTTCCATTATCAGATATCAAGATTTTAGGGACTCCGAATCGACAACAAATGTTGTTGTACAGGAATTGGATTACTTTTTCTTCCGTGATTTTAGCCAGTGGCTCAGCCTCCACCCACTTTGTGAAATAGTCGACCGCGACGATCAAGAACTTACGCTGTCCGGTTGCTTGCGGCATTGGCCCTACCAAATCGATCCCCCATTGCGCGAATGGGATTGGTGCGCTCATTGTGGTCATCATCTCCGCCGGTTGATGTATGAGTGGGCCGTGTTTTTGACATTGCACGCACCTCTTGGCCATTTCCTTCGCATCCGTCTTCATTGTCGGCCAAAAGTAACCAGCTCTTAAGATTTTTGCGACCATAGCTCCGGCCTTACTGTGATCACCACAACACCCTTTGTGCACTTCTCGCAAAACGCACCGACCCTCCTCTTTGGATACACATCTTATATGTGGGCCTGCATATGACCGTTTATAGAGAATCCCTCATTGCTCGAAAAACCTTTTTACCACCTTTATGGTCCCTTCCTGTAACTCCTTCCGGATTGGGGCCCTCCAATCTTCTACCTCCTCGATCTCTGCTACCTCGACTTCAGCCGCGCTCCTCTCCATGTGAAGTAGGGTCACACTCCTACTCTTACAATCGACCAAGTTCTGTGCGATCTTAGACAGCAAATCAGCCCGACCATTCTCCCCTCGAGGTATTTGTATTAATTCAAATGTCCCAAATTCTTCCTTCAACTTTTTTATGTTGTCCACATGACGTTGCAGCCGATCTTCCTTGATCTCGAAACCTTCTTGGAATTGACCGACCACTAGCTGGGAGTC